GTTCTGATTACTTCATAATAAAATTATACAAATAAACAAATTCATAAACAACATGAATTAAAAAATTAAACACGATTTTGATGATAAAATATAGAGCATAACGAGTAAAACCAAAAACAAATATCCTTAAATACACAAGTTACATGTTAGTAATGCACATCTCTATCTTTGGGAAGTGGAGAGAACACCCGCTAACTGGGTGGATGAGTAAATCAACATTTTATACAATTTGTATAAAATAAATGTTTATTAAAGCTATTTTGTATGTCATCTCCTTTTTCAAATAATTACATTATATGCATGTTTCATTAGAATCCGTTTTTTTGGTGGCTGTAAACAATCGCGAGGCACTCCGATATCATATTTAATTTCCACATAAAATACAACAGCTATGACTGCATGATCTATCCGTCACTGTGAAAAGAGTACATAAAAAAAGAAGCTTGATACCACTCTTATCTTCACGGCCGTAGCATTACCATGTAATTATAAGAAATGAATGTTTCTTTTTATAATTTCACGGGGTTGTGAAAGCTTTGTTTGTACAAAAAAATGTCCGCGCTTCATACAAAATGTGCTTCGATCAGCTTTTTTACACCGCAATTAAATTATGAAAAGAAATATTCAATTCTTATATAAAGTTTGCAACAGACGACATAATTTCGATATCATATTTTCATCTTCAATACTCAAAAACCAAATTAATTTATTGTTCATGCTTACGCATTTGTTTGTACCTCATATTTAGGTAGCTAAGCAAGAACTTCATAATAGGGGATCAATAGTTAAATACTACATAAAACAGAGAACGTACATTTTTAAAATACTGGACATTACAGAAGAACATCAACAACTGAATCCTTTCAAAAATAAAGGCAACAGTAGTATACCGCTGTTCGGAACTCATAAATCGATAGAGATAAAAACAAATCCGGGTTACAAACTAAAACTGAGGGAAACGCATCAAATATAAGAGGAGAACAACGACACAACAAAAAACACAACATTAAAATGTAATACACAGGGAAACGAACTATAATATAACAATGGCCATTTTCCTAACTTGGTACAGGACATTTTAAGACAAAACTGGTGAGTTGAACCTGATTTTGTGGCATGCCAAACCTCCCGATTTTATGGCAACGTCAAACACAACACCACAACGACAACATCACATGACGAGACCACAAAACAAATAAATGGGAGAACATATAGGACAAAGAAACACACAAATAATAGCTAACAAAAGGTACTAGGCGTAAAATTCAATACGCCAGACGTGCGTCTTGTCCACACAAGACCAACCAGTGACGATCAGATGAAAAAAGATTGAAAGCCAAAACAAGTTCAAAGCTGAAGAGCACCGAGGACTAAAACTTCCAAAAAGTTCAAAACATGTATAAACCAAAGTAAAACAGCAACCAACTACACAATGTACACAACATGTATGAATTCAATAGTGATACCCAACTTTTAGAGTTACATGTATAAAATGTAATGATGTTTTTTTTTTATTTCAAATGTAAAATTGTATTCCAGATACCAAATTGATGAATTTGTTGTTCCAAATACAAAATGTATAAATTTCTTGTTCCAAATACAAAATGTATAATTTTTTTGTTCCAAAAACAAAATGTAGATATTTGTTTTCCCCGAATGCTTAAATGAAAATGTGTTTGTCTGTATGAGTTTTAACAATAAACATGTAACCATATAATATATCAGGCTTACTGTGTGTTTGTTTATTCCATATTAGCTAGAGGTAAAGGGGAGAATTGAGATCTCACAAAACATATTTAACCCCGCCGTCTTTTTGCGCCTGCCCAAAGTCAGATACCCCTACCCTTTGTAAGTTTTGTGTCTGTTTTTTTTTTAAATTTTGTTCAATCATATGTTTTAGAGTTCAGTGTGCAGTCAATTTTGCTGAACTTGTATACTTTGTTTTGGAACCAGCTCGAGCCTTCTTGGGGTGCAAGATTTTCTTGCTGCGTTGAAGACGCACTAGTGGCCTTGGGCTGTTTTCTGCTCTTTGGTAGGAATGTTGTTTATTTGATACATTCCCCGTTTCCTATCTCAATTCTATTCTAATCTCCCAAATGTTTATAAAAGGTATCAAAGAATTTGATAGAGATTATATATGATTTCGAACAATAAAATATAACTTACATAAAACAATTCCCGATACCATGTCATCATTAATACAGCAATGACAGTTGACATGCAAGCTAGGTACATTATCTAATGAAGAACTATGCGAAAGATTCATTTATTGTTTTCGTTTGAACTGAATATGCAGTCAGAGGCGTTGCGTAATTAAGTTCTTTTCAATTACCTTTAATATTAAATTTTAATAAAAGGATGCAACACTGTCCCAGGTTAGAGGCAGGGTTGGCGCCTTCAAACTAGTTTAACTCCGCCACGTTCTGTATGTGCCTGTCTCAAGTCAAGAGCTTGTATTTTATTGGTTGTTGTTTGTTGCTGTATATCATAAAATTGGGAATGGAAATGGGGAATGTGTCAAAGAGACAACAACACGACCATAGAACAGACAACAGCAGAAGGTCACCAACAGGTCTTCAATGCAGCGAGAAATTCCCGCACCCGGAGGCGTCCTTTAGCTGGCCCCTAAGCAAATATATATACTAGTTCAGTGATAATGAACGCCATACTAAACTCCAAATTGTACACAAGAAACTTAAATTAAAAATAATACAAGACTAACAAAGGCTAGAGGCTCCTGACATATTTGGTTTTCATTAAATATTTTGTACATAAATCAGGCTGTTGGTTTTCTCGTCTTTCTTGTTTTATATTTGTCATTTCTGGGCCTTTTATAGCTGACTATGCGGTATGGGTTTTGCTCATTGATGAAGGCCGTACGGTGACCTATAGTTGCTGACATTTGGTCTCTTGTGGAGAGTTGTCTCATTGGCATTAATACCACATCTTCTTATTTTCATATTATATTATATTACAAACATTTGCGTTAAACGTTCCACAAATGTATAAATTCTCATCATCAATATAATGAAACTCAAGACTTTGAAACCGTTTTTAATGAGACGTAAAGACTAATTGCCTATGGACTAAAAGTAAATATTTTTTTATAACTATTGATATTTCAGGATAGTTTTAGCATGTTTAACTAAGTTCTATGACATTAAAAAAAACAAGGGATATGGGAAATCCATCCATGACACAAAATCAGTACATGCACAGCAAAAAATACACAGAAAGCAAAAGAACAGCGCTTTGATTGCTGTTCTTCATCTCAAAGTCACAGTGAGGCCTTCAACACGGAACAAAAGAATATCTCACCTCACCGCAAGTTTAAGACGGCCCCTAGCACCGGTTTGAGCTTTCAAAATGATTCGGACAGACTTTGGAAGATGTATCATCACCAAATCGGGCCCGGTTTTAGCAAGGGTCCTTTCTAAAAATTCTCCCTATGTAAAAGTCTTGTTTTTGATATACGCTATGATAGGTATCTTTTTGGATATTCATTTCCTTGCTAAGTCTGCCAATGTTTCTTAAGGATGTTCGCTCCTCTTGTTTTTGATTTTTTGTCAGATATTCGGAATCCTTTGGTTTTATCCATGTTTTTCAATTAAGAAATTTTGTCCACTAACCCCTACTTTTCTTTTCATAATTTTATTACATATAGTTAAAAAAGCCATATTTGAAAATCTTATAAAATCCTTGTTATTTTTTCAATGTTTATGAAAGAAAATGGGTGCCAATGTTAAATGTATGAAAAATCTAGAGAGAATCATTTCCCGCCAAATTTGCAATGGCTTATATCTCGAAAACAAGCACACGGACCCTTCATTTTTTTCTGCTTTTTTAGTTCCTTCATTAATATACTATCAATTTATGACAGTCTTTCAAAAAGCTTGTTATTTTGAAACAGAGTAGCGAACATCCTTAATAAATCTTATATGATTTATAACTATTATTTTATATTTAGTTACCAGTGTAAGTGGAATTACTCTTGTTCTAAAATTATCTGAATGAGTACTGCATCTTTTAATCTTGTGTTTCACATCTTTCGTGTTTTTTAGTTTTTATCCTAACTTCTATGTATAAGTTTATTCTCCAAAGTTATAATATTGATTGACTGTGTGTTGGTTGCTTAACGCACAGAGGCAAATATTTCATTCATGTTCAGAACGAAAACAAATCAACAACAAATGCAATTGGTAGGTCCTGTAAAAGGGATGAATGTCGGGAAATTTGAACTGCTACTGGAAATTGAGGTTATATTGGATATGGATGGAAATGTACCTTGCAACATGTCACCTACGGACCCCTAAAAGAGTTGTTGCAATGATTATTTACATACAGAGTGCGTCTCTCTCTCTCTCTCTCTCTCTCTCTCTCTCTCTCTCTCTCTCTCTCTCTCTCTCTCTCTCTCTCTATACACGAGCAATCGGATCTAACGTCCCCATTCTGACCGGACGTGACGTACATATTTATAAATCCCGCACAGCCAAACAGAGGTCCTCTTTGGCAAGGGTTTTACTGCCGGTCGAAAGAGGACCAAGAGTGACCATATATATATTCCCAAGTCACCATTGGGGGAACTAGAAATTTCAATCAGGACACAAACAATCTAATCAATAGGCCAGAGTCAAAAACCTGTGTGCATCACTGCACACTTATTGCCTATGATGTAACCTCAATGTATACAAATATGATTTTTTACATATATAGTATTTCTTAGATCAAATAGATCGAACGAAGTTTCAGCTTTAAGTACCAAACAAATTAGATATGATATCTTTTGCAAACGTGCCGTTGGAGAACAATTAGTTCCAGTTTTATATCAGGAGACTTTTGAGAAGGAATCCTTGCTTAGTATGTCATAGAACTTAGCTAAGAAAGTCTAAAACACCGTTAGTTAAAAAAAAACACATTTCTTGTTAATAAGCAATTATTCTTACAACTATTTAAAAGCGGTTTCAAGTCTTGAGGTTGTAGTATGCATAATGGTGCACCCGATCCTGCAATATTAGCCACTATTAGTGGGAATCTATTAGTAAAATTAGTCTGCTAGTAACACTAACAACAGTATACTTTTATACTGTACAGTATAGATGTTAAGTGCTGGTAGTTATAACAAAATATGTTCAATTCGGGGACAGCAAAAATCATGACAAGGGTTGTTTTAATTCAAAGAAAATGGCGTGTTGAATGGCACCAACATGGTATTCATAAAGAAAAGAAAAATTTCCAAATCAGTAACACAGTACACGAGTAGGGGTAAACGAAGGGCTTTGCTGTCGGATCCTTTTCGCATTAAAACTGACAAGCACTCATTAGAAATATTGTCACCACTTGTAGTACCATCAACAAGTCGGGCACAGACAGCATTGCCATTGGAAGAACAGAAATATCCACATGACATTGAGATTGATCATAGTGATGATATTGAAGGTAATGAAATCATTTTAGACAATGTTAAACGACGCTACTTTTTCCGATGTACCGTCGGTTTTATACAGTGCTGTTTGTAACGCCGTATCCTTCAATTTCATTAAAGAAATAAACTTGAACATAAGATTGAACGGTGTATGATATGCTTGCAAAAATGAGAAAATGCATATGATAAACAACATAAACGCTAACGTTAATACGTACGCGTATCAGAGATTTTATTTAAAAAACGGAATCGCTAAAATTACTCCGGAAGGATTCCGATTTTGATTCCGTTTTATATTTTATTTTAGCTCTCTACGTGTGAGGTAGAAAAGATATTCAAATAAAAAACAAAAACAAAGATGCCCACAAACAGCTGTTCTTTTTTTCTCTCTCTTTTGAAATACACTATACCAAAAATAAACAGGCAGATAATTTGCACCTATTGCAAGATTGTCATATTTTTTTTTAAATGTTTCATAAAAATTAGCTGCGCAAACGTAGCTTTATTGTCCTTTGATTTTTTTCTATGGTCCGCAAATATCAAAATCATCAAAAGGACCTTAAAAGAGATACGTATTCGCAGCTACATAAAAGTAAAAGCAAATTTATTTCTTGAAATTTGTTTGGGTGTAGAAAAAAAACATTTACCAGGATTGCGGCTTGCCAGACTAAAAACGCAATGGACCTGCCAGAGCACTAGATCCTTCATTACGGAAGACGTTTAAGAAATATATATCTTCTCTATAAAGCTAAGTATTTAGTGACAATATATATATATTTCCGTATTGGATTAATTATGTATCTGGTCTAAATTTCTTCGTCCCCTTATAATGGATTATTATACCCCACGCAACGAGTTGTGGAGGGTATAATGTTTTTGACCCGTCCGTCCGTCAGTCCTGTTTCTTGTCATCGCAACTCCTCTCAAACCACACGACAGAATTTCACAAAATCTTTTTAGATAATAAGGACATACTATGTAGTTGTGCATATCGACAGGAAATTACGACTCAACTTTTTTTCTAGGAGTTACGCCCCTTTGAACTTATTTACTTTAATGTACTACTGCAACAGTTTGTCATCTCAACTCCTCTGAAACCACACAACAAAATTTCATGAAACTTTGTAGATAATAAGGACATACTACGTAGATGTGCATATCGACAGGAAATTACGATTCAATTTTTTTTCTAGGAGTTACGCCCCTTTGAACTTATTTGCCCAATATACTACTGCAACCTTTTGTCATCGCAACTCCTCTCAAACCACACAACAGAATTTCATGAAACCTTTTCAGATAATAAGGACATACTACGTAGATGTGTATATCGTCAGGAAATTACGATTCAATTTTTTTTCTAGGTGTTACGCCCCTTTGAACTTATTTGCTTCAATATACCTCTGCAACAGTTTGTCATCCCAACTCATCTGAAACCACACAACAGAATTTCATGAAACTTTGTAGATAATAAGGACATACTACGTAGATGTGCATATCGACAGGAAATTACGATTCAATTTTTTTTCTAGGAGTTACGCCCCTTTGAACTTATTTGCCCAATATACTACTGCAACCTTTTGTCATCGCAACTCCTCTCAAACCACACAACAGAATTTCATGAAACCTTTTCAGATAATAAGGACATACTACGTAGATGTGTATATCGTCAGGAAATTACGATTCAATTTTTTTTCTAGGTGTTACGCCCCTTTGAACTTATTTGCTTCAATATACCTCTGCAACAGTTTGTCATCCCAACTCCTCTGAAACCACACAACAGAATTTCATGAAACTTTGTAGATAATAAGGACATACTAGGTAGATGTGCATATCGACAGGAAATTATGATTCAATTTTTTTTCTAGGAGTTATGCCCCTTTGAACTTATTTGATTCAATATACCTCTGCAACAGTTTGTCATCGCAACTCCTCTTAAACCACACAACAGAATTTCATGAAACTTTGTAGATAATAAGGATATACTATGTAGATGTGCATATCGACAGGAAATTATGATTCAATTTTTTTTTCTTATACAATTTTTTTTTCTTACAGTTATTTTATTTCTCCAGTGACAATGTGGGGACGTGGGGTATGTGAGCGCGCTCACTAAGGTTCTTTAATTTTCTCCAGGATCTCAAAGTTCATACTTGGCATGTAAATTGGTTAATACTAGAGGACTCTGGGTATGTCAAAATTAATGTATGTAAAACTTTGTTTTGCAAAGGTCAAGATCAAATTGCCATATAAATTGATGTGTATACATTCTGTCTTGTTTTACAATAGTTTTTAAGCAAGCAGAATTAATTCTTTATTTCTTTTTAAGGTAAGAGTCGTTATGAAATAAAGAAGGATGGCAGCCTACAGGACTGGAAGAATATAAGCAACCAGCTGTATGAGTGTTTCCTGTCCACTGAATTTTTACATAATGGGCATTGTCTTGATTGTGATGAAAGCAGTCAGTTGTACCGGTGCATTGACTGTTGTCCATGGGAAGCAGTTTGTGGAAATTGCCTACAGAAGAGACACCAATTTCCTCATTTGCACATTTTTGAGGCATGGAGGGTAAGATATCTTTTAGCCACAATATGGCTTTCTTTAAAATATTTCCTATTTACAATTGGAATATCTCATTAGATAAGTATAAATTTTCTTTACATCTGGTCATATGTCTCTTTTTCACTTAGACTTAATGAAGTTTATAAGCATCCATCATGGCATGAATACATCTCTATGAAAATGTATTTGCCCTGCCCCTCTATATTACAATCTATTTATTGAAATTTAGCATTTATATACAAGTATTTTGATGTGTTTTGATTGCTAATGAGACAATTTACAACTTTCCACCAGAGACCATTACAGTCTGAATTTCAGTCCACAATATGTCCTTCAGAACAGAGCTAATGCTAGCAAAGCATATAGCAATCAAGCTTCAAAGCATTCAAAAATTACATTAAGTACAGTATAACACAATTTAAAAGAGAAAACACACTGTGTGTATTGTGTATCCAAATATTAATAATTATGAATATGATTTACAGAATAACAGATCAACCAATACCATTGAATTACTATCTCCTTCTTGCTGTAATGAGTGTATATTACAACAGAGAAGTGTAATTTTAAGTTTTTATTACAATGGGAAGTTACAATAATTCACTGCAACCAATTTAATCTTTTCTCTCACTTATTTATAGAATCAAGCATATGTTGGAGCTGTGTTAGATACACCACCATGGATATTACGGTCACATACACATTGTAGTACAAGCTATTTGAAAAATGTTGTAATAGTTGATGAAAAGGGTATGTATAAATGAACAGATGATAAAGAAAAATGTTCCTTTTTATTGTTGAGCCTGCGACTTTTGTCGCAGAAAGCTCAACATAGGGATAGTGATCCCGCGGCGGCGGCATTGGCTAACTTCTTAAAAGCTTTGTATTTTAAAAGGTGGAAGACCTGGATGCTTCATACTTTGTATATAGATGCCTTATGTTACGAAGTTTCCGACTGTCACATGTCCATTGTCCATGACCTCATTTTCATGGTTCAGTGACTACTTGAAAAAAAGTTAAGATTTTTTGTAATGTTAATTTCTCTCTTATAATGAGTAATAGAATAACTATATTTGGTATGTGCGTACCTTGGAAGGTCGTCATGCCCGTCAGACAGTTTTCACTTGACCTCGACCTCATTTCATGGATCAGTGAACAAGGTTAAGTTTTGGTGGTCAAGTCCATATAGATCTAGCATATTTGGTGTATGGAAGGACTGTAAGGTGTACATGTCAAACTGGCAGGTGTCATCTGACTTTGACCTCATTTTCATGGTTCAGTGGTTATAGTTAAGTTTTTGTGTTTTGGTCTGTTTTTCTTATACTGTATGCAATAGGTCTACTATATTTGGTGTATGGAATGATTGTAAGGTGTACATGTCTTCTGACCTTGACCTCATTTTCATGGTTCAGTGGTCAATGTTAAATTTTTGAGTTTTGGTCTTTTTTTCTAATACTATATGCAATAGGTCAACTATATTTGGTGTATGGAAATGTTTTATTATGTACATGTCAGTCTGGCCGGTTTTATTTGACCTTGACCTCATATTCACATTTCATAGCTCAGTGTTAAGTTTTTGTGTTTTGGTCTGTTTTTCTATTACTATAAGCAATAGGTCAACTATATTTGTTGTATGGAAGGATTGCAAGCTGTACATGTCTGCCTGGCATGATTCATCTGACCTTGACCTCTTTTTCATGGTTCATTAGTCAATGTTTAGTTTTCTTGGTTAAGTCTGTATCTTAGAAACTATAAGCATAGGTCAACTATATTTAGTGTATTGAATGATTGTAAGGTGTACATGTATTTCTTGTTTGGTTTATATGACCTTGACCTCATTTTCTTGGATCATATTAAGTTTATGTAATAGTTGTAGTAAAGCTTTATATTCAGAACTATCAACATAATATCAATGATTAGTAAAGAAAGCGAGACATTTCAGCATGTGCACTCTTGTTAAACCATCTGTTATAAAACAGTGGATTTATGATATCTGGTCTGTGCATTATAGGTCAATTTGTTTGTGCTTTAAAAGTTTTGTTATTAAATATACTGGTAGTTTACCATGAAGTTTTTGTTATCCCAATCTTATTGTTCAGGTTACAAGAAAAATTAAATTTTCTGCAAGCTAGGCCTGTATGTTATCCTAATAACACAAGTTATTTATGAGCTATTGTTATTCATTTTCCAGAAAAAAAGTAGTTACAACCCTCTCTTGGAAATCTTAGGCTTTATAGTCCATTGGGAGAAATGTCAGATTCTTCTCAGCAATTTGTATCATAGAATACCAGAAGTACAACTTCATAAAAGTGGATTTGTTCTTGCAGTTTATCTGGAGTAACATATATTTTGAAAGACTTGTTTTAAAGAACATATAGAAAAAGTCATTCAAAATATCATTCAAATTCTGCATTTTATATTTCTAATATAATGATATGATGAAACAAAACTTACATCCTATTAAATCATGTTGTGATAGTTTTTTGTTTTAGATCACTCCAATGACCTATTAATTTCTGTATACTTATAGGCAGACAACATGTAAGATCCCTTCAATTTTGTAAGTGTGAGGGTGAAGCCATCACACTTATCAGGTACAGACTTTGGCCTTCTTCGACCAAGTTTCCAAGAATAGCCTTTCACTTTGATTTGCTAAAATGGTTAAATGGACTTCTTATTGAATGCCATCTGTCAGTTAAAGGTTTCTGTGAAGCACTGAAGGCCAGGAGTTCAAAGCACCACAGAAGTTATTTTGATTATCCGGTTTGTATATTATTACATGAATAAAGAATGTAAACGGAGAATGTGTCAAAGAGACAATCTGACCAAAATGTAAAAAACAGCACAGGGCCACCAATGGCCCTTCAACACAGTGAGAACTTCCTCAACCAGAGGCTTCAGCAGGCCCCAAAACACTAATGCATACTGGATTTGAAAAATGGATGCCACTCAAGACTCAGAAACATAGATATGAATCAAAATTTATAAAACATACAAGACTAACAAAGGCTAAAGTTTCCTGACTTAGGAGAAAAAACATGTTTTGCAAAATCTCATACTTCTTCCTAGAGCTCTAGATAGCTAATGTGGAATAGATAAACAAACCTTAATACGTACAGTAACATTCACATCAAAAGAAGTCTCGAGTCCTTTGTTTGAAAAAAATAAACATCAGAAACTAAGTAAAAAGACAATGATTGACATAAATGAACAAGGACTAAAAGCAGTAACTGACATGCCAGCTCCAGACCTCTTGTAAACTCATAGAAAAATTACTATTCGTTGGATACCAATTTTCGTGGGTTTCACTGATGCAGGTGAGCCACGAATTTATATGTTAGACGAATAACAAATTTTCTATGAGTTTTGCATGCAGAGATTAGCAAAACAATGAAATCAAATATCCCAGAAAATGTAGGTTTTCCTCAATCCATGAAAAATGATACCCACGAAAATAAATAAATCCACAGTATGACCCATTCCACTTTGTATGAATATAACATTATAATTCTTATATGATTTGCATATCTATAAATACTTGAACGAGATTGGTAAATTACATTTTATCCCTTGGTTTACACTTTGATAAACCATGTTTCCGATACTTTCATAATCTTCAGTGATCTATTCATGCGCAATACACATACATAAAGGGATCCCGGGATTTTCAACAAATTGAGATTGAAAAACAAAAAAACATAACAGTAGACTTGTTTCTATTTTAAAGGGGCACTAGCTGTCAAATTCATGTTTACCGATTTTAATCAAATTCTCATATTTGTTTTATAACAATGTAAAACATTTATCCAAACTATATAAAGTCTAAAATAAACAATGAACAGGGCATGGGCATGAAAATATGTAGCTTCGTTTCGTGTGTATTTTAGTCTAGACGCCATCTAATTAACTATCGAGTTGACCTCTAAAGTCATCCGATGACCATATAAGCGATGTAAACATAAATAAAGATATAAATAGATTAAGCAAACTGACATAAAAGTCCGATAGCACCCACCTCTGAAAGTTTTCAATCGTATGACGTTGTGTTTTGCCATGACATTAATTCGTTAATTTCCAGGAATTGTATACGAATCTAAATTTTATACATTTTCAAAGCTTTAATGCATTATTTCTTTTCAGTTTGTGAGTTAATCGCCCCGGTTTACACATCAATAACCTCTAGAAAAAATGTGTTTAATCCTATACTAGATCACTATAACATGCATTTTCCAAGTACATCTCTTAATTCCCAGATTAAAATATGAAGTCCTATAGCTTTTGGCATCACAACCAGAAAAACAGTTGGATTGAATTTTTATTCCCATTTCCATTAATTTACTAAATTCATTGTAGAAAATTCTTCAAATTTGGTTAAAAACTTGACCAAAGAGAGGAGTAAGAAGTTGAATTCTTTAAAGAGTTTTGTGCAATGGTAGCTGTGTATGAGTAAAGGTCTTTGTTGACATAAAAATTAAATGTGATTTTTTTTTCAGATAAAAGATATTTATAAAGTGCTGATAAGTGAAACAGTAACTGAATTTCGTCATTTCCTGCACAGAATCGAACAGCCATCAAACCTGTGTGAGAACCTTGATGATGGCACAGAATGCCCAGCTTGTTTTTCTGTAAGTACTAATGGCATTTTCATTAATTTTAAAGGTGTTGAAATGTGTAAAGGAGATGAATTTACATATGTTTATTTATTTATAAGTTTTTCTGGTTTGCATTGTCTTAACTTTGTCAAAAAGTTACTTCTCTGTCTGTCAAGATACATAAGTGCAGAGTCTGCTTATCATTGATCTTAAGTATTGAATGCATTTTCTTACTTATACTGTAAGTTCAGAAATTACTGCGATGTTTTTATTATGGCGAAAAATGCGAAAGGGTTATAATCGCAATAATTTAAACTCACATTTTATTTTTTTTTTATGAGTTAAACAGGATATTTGTCAAAAATGCAAAAAATTGAAATCACATTTTAAACTAAAATGACAAAATCGCAATGATAAATGCATGCAATTACTTCTGAATTTACAATATCTTAAAATACCTAATTATAAGCAGTAAAAGCAAATGGGGATAAAAATGATAAATCAGTCAATATATATCTGACATAAAGTTTTCATACGATTTAAGCAAACCACAATCTGGTTTTTGCCCATGGAATGTATTTTGAGGTAATTTTGTAATTGTTGGTTATTATCTTGAATACTATCAATAACACAGATAAGTGTACATAACAGAAATGACAAACTGACCTTTAAGAGATGATTAAGACAAACGCATGGAATAATATGGTCATCTCAACAATACAGGTTTTCTCCCTTGAGCTGGTACCACAAAAGTTAGAAAAGCAATCAGGTTGAGATGACCAATGATAATCTCGATCTGTTTATTGCTATTTTGCCCATGACATTGTTGATGTCTACATTTTGTGTACCTTTACAAATAAAGTTTATTAACTATTTCTTTTTTTTTTGGTATCTTTATAGACATCAACTAAGATCTACAGTTTTGATGCTGATTTTCAGTTAGTTAGGAAAGCATCAGCTGGTAAGCAGTGGGAACAGCCAAAGCACCATGATTGCTTCTTCCTTGATCAAGCAAAGGTCGACAAATTTATGGAGGACTATTGTGCAGATAAAAAAAAGCCTGATGTGGTAGTTACTTATTTAATGTTCCTATCTAATAATAGTTAGTTTCTTTCCAAATTTCATTGAACGCTCATTGATGGCCTTGGGTTGTTTTATGCTCTTTGGTTTGGTTATTGTCTCTTTGACACATTCCCCATTCATAATTTTGTAAGTCCATTATTATTTATACCATTTTTCTATTTATATAATATAATACACTGTATGCGTTCTAACACAAAGTTGAAGTTCTATTGTTGCACAATGAAAAATATGAAGCTAATTATTTGGATATAGTGTAAATTATAATGGTAATAATTATAATTTTAATACTAGTTATTATTTCCTAAACCTATACATAGCTATTCTATTACTTTCCACAATTATGTCAATATTGTCAAAACTACTGAATTTTATACAATGTCATCATTAATATGTACTACTAGTAAAACAGAACTTTGATTTATTTATTGTAGTTTAGTCAACTGTCTTTTTTATAACTATGTCACTAATAAAATGAATTCATATTTTGATAGGATTGTAGTGATTTCCAGGCAGGAAATAATGTGAGATCCAAGAATAAGACCAACAAGCTATCAGAGACAGCAGTATTTGGTTCAACCTGTCGTCATGAATATCCCAAATATTTCTTTAGCCTTAAATATGGTGAAAGGTATAGATATGGATATTTAAATTTGTGAAAGAACAATTGAATTGTCCAAAATAGTTTTTAATTATGATAAAAAAGATGGCATCCTTAGTCAAAAGAAAAATACAAAGTTTGTCACAGGATAAAAATGTGAAAGAAAGGACAAGGTACGATAAGGCCTGTTTTTGGCCTCCCTATTTTCTCATTTTTTAAATTTTGTTTTGGAAAGCTACTTATCACGTTACAATATTTCCTTAGGTTTGAAGTTTGTTTGGATGAACTTCAAAACCATTAATTTCAGAAAAAGGATGAGGTGAGGCGGGGGGGGGGGGGGGGGGGGGGGGGGGGATGGGGGGGTAAAAGGGCATCAAAAACGCCAAAAGAAGGAAAAAGTACGATTTTTGGCCATTGTTTCTTTATGAAAATTATGGCGATTTAGACAGCAAAAACAATTCTCATGACATTGGAATAAAAAAATTCCTGGGTCACATAGGCGCAGGCACTAAAAAACTAAAAATTAGTTGTACGGAACACCTGCAAAGTGAATAATAATTACAATATTTGAATACTAACAGAAAGTTTACCCCCCTCACCTCACCCAGTTGCTAAAATTATTGGTTTTGAAGTTCATCCAAACAAACTTCACACCTCAGGGAATATTTTAACAAAATAAAGAGGTTTCCAAAACAAAATTTGAAAAATGAGAAAATAGGGGGCCAAAAACAGGCCTTATCGTACCTTGTCCTTTGATTACCACTTTTCCGTGAAGAATTTTATTAATAATCATATAAGCCTACTTATATTGAATTCAATATTTTATTTAAGTCTCATCTTTCAATAATGTTTAATGTTAGAATATATACTAGATATAAAAAGTTAATGTTAGAATATATACTAGATATAAAAAGTTAATGTTAGAATATATACTAGATATAAAAATTAATGTTAGAATATATACAAGATATAAAAAGTTAATGTTGGAATATATACTAGATATAAAAATTAATGTTAGAATATATACTAGATATAAAAATTAATGTTAGAATATATACTAGATATAAAAAGTTAATGTTAGAATATATACTAGATATAAAAGTTAATGTTAGAATATATACTAGATATATAAAGTTAATGTTAGAATATATACTAGATATAAAAAGTTAAGTTAATGTTAGAATATATACTAGATATAAAAGTTAATGTTAGAATATATACTAGACATAAAAAGTTAATGTTAGAATATATACTAGTATAAAAAGTTAATGTTAGAATATATACTAGATATAAAAAGTTAAGTTAATGTTAGAAAATATACTAGATATAAAAAGTTAATGTTAGAATATATACTAGACATAAAAAGTTAATGTTAGAATATATACTAGATATAAAAAGTTAATGTTAGAATATATACTAGTATAAAAAGTTAATGTTAGAATATATACTAGATATAAAAATTAATGTTAGAATATATACTAGATATAAAAAGTTAATGTTAGAATATATACTAGATATAAAAAGAGAGCCATTCTGTACATAATTACCATAGACTATAACATTAAAAACATTATAGAGAATTCGTCTATTATAAAACATATTTATAAGAACATTATTTAGAGTATAAAACATTTTAACGTCTATCCAAAATTAGATACATGCTACACAACTACAAATCTTATCAATATCTATAAATAAAAACACTAATTTATGTTTATCATCAAAAGACATTAAATCACTACTTAAATGTGTTGCATCATCAAATATTTTTTTGTAAAATCGTCATATAAAGGACATGATAAAATAACATGAGCTTCATCTTCTAAAATATCCTCACAACTATCGCAGACTCTCTCCTCTTAAAGTAATTTTTCAAATCTCCCCGTTTCGATTCTTAGTGGTGCTAGAGAGAGTGACGCATATTCATTTCCAACTACATCCGACCTACATTCGAATATTTGAAACTTTTTATGTAGGTTTCAGAAAGTTAACTATATGAAAAAAATGTTTGATAAAGGAATTCTCTTCAAAACATTGGTTAAATGTTTTAAAAATGAACGCAAACTCAAGAGGAATTCAAGACACATTTTCGCCGTAATGTATGATATGACCATCCTCATTATCCTGGTATATTATAAAAACAATTGTTTGCAATTACATGAATTAGCTTGAGAGATCATTCCTATAAGATTTTTCTAACAAATATTTACTTTATGACTGCGCATGCATGCCATATAAATCCTACATAATTGCCAAAATCGTTCAAAAACACCTGCGTATTTCTTTATATGTGCGAATAACATTGAAAATGGGGTAAAGAGGAATATCAACAGTTCAAACATTACAAACAGTGTTTAGCATCTATTTAGGCAAGTATTGGGTAAAGGCACACGAAATTTACAGAAAAAATTGCAAAAACGGCAAAAATGTGGCGACGGCGAATACGCGCCACCCACTCTACACTACATCGAAATTTGGCAAAATAACATTGGAATTGTACAATAAGTTTCCGTTTCAAAACTGTTCTTATTTAAATTATATTTTCAAAGTTTGTTACCACTTTTACAAGGTAAAGCTTTCTATGACTGTAAATTGCGTTGCACTGTTCAACATATTTACTTAACATTTTAGACATAAAAGTATTGACAACTGAGGTAACATATTCTGTAATGTTACAAAGAAGTTCTGTATTTATGCCCCTTTATTATTAAATGGAAAATTGCCAAATTTGTTATTGCTGTTCTCTTACTTTAGTTTTCCTTACACAATGTTTTGCACCTTATACAGACTGCCTGTTACCACAAAACACCGATCAGGTGTGAATTTGGGAGGCATCACTTTTATTGTTCTAGAGTGTTACGGCTAAATTTATAGAAAAATGGCTAAATCTGTCATTTCTGTTCTTTTGCCCCATCAAAATATTACAAAACTTATACACAATGTTTTCTGACCACAAAACTCAGATGAAGTTTGACTTTGTATGGGGTCATTTTGACTTTTAAAGTTATGTCCCTTTATTATTGGAAAATTGCCAAATCTGTTGTTTCTGTTCTCTAACTTTAGTTTGCCTAAACCAAATGATATGAAATTTATAGACAATGCTTTTTACCACATAACTTAATCAAGTTGGAATTTACTTTTACTGTAATCTTGTTTATAACCCTGTATATATGCAAGCAGGGGCATCATCGCGTGACTGTCCCAAGGACATGTTCTCCATTGTTTTTATTGACAAAGTTGTATAAATTTATTTTGTGCTCATTGACCTTGTAACCATGCTTAACTATGCAAAAAAAAGGATGTTTACAAACAAGTCTAAAAGCAAAATTTATATTTTACACATTTATATTTTTTAAATTTTAAAGCTTTAATTTGTATGACTGTTGATCATCACCTGATTACATTTTGTTTTAGTACAGTTTATGAGTGAAAGATGGTCTTAGCATACAAGATAATGTTAAACCTTTGTCATGGTTCTGTATACATATTAGCATCATGGAAAACTAATGAAAAATTGCCTTTATTCCAGATTGGGGTATTCTGTTTATTTGTTAAACAAATTGCTGGAAGAAAAACCAGTTGATGACAGCCATCCAATTTATGTCATGTATGACATTGCTTGCAACCTACACAGTCATTTAAAGGTGCGCAGATTTACCTAAATGTTTTATTTAAAACTTAATTGCAAAGTAGTTCTATTTAATGTTTCCATTTTTCAGTAATCATAGATTAAATATTTGTTTTAAGCTCTGTTTATCTCAATTAAAATGGTAAATTTTAAAAACTTCATAGTTAACTGTATAGCACATATTAAGTTGCATGATCAGATATGCTAGGCAAAAAGGGCATAACTTCTTATTTTAGTCTGATTGGATATATATCTTAGTGTCTGGCAAATTTTCATAACTGGCTTACTTGATCAGAAATCAGTTGATTATTTCAAAATGATGAATGAGACCTTCAAATATAGATTGAATTCATTGTTATACAAATTATATAACTCTCTCATTTCAGAGTAAGCAGAAAAAGATTGTTTCTAATGAAAACTAAAGCATTTTGACTGATTTCACAATTACTTTTCATCATTTATTTATGGATTTGTATTTGATGTTTTTTTTTAGAAACATACAGCTTCCTCAGTTTTGGATAAAGTCAAGTTTTCTATACCAATATTTCATTCATATGGCCATAAAATGAGTTGTCAGGTAAATTTTAGATATAAGATTATAGGTATATTTAAAATAATTTCATTGTAAACACTTTCATCCTACCTGGATCATTATGCAATCAGTATAAAATGATTGTGTTCTTTATGTTCAAGATAAATTGAAAATGAATGTAGTTTTCACTATTTAGATATGCCTGGGAAATGTCAATTGCATAGAAAATTCAATAGAACAAGAACTCTTATATCAGTAATATTTCAAGAATTTTAAAAACAGCACTGCTTACAATTGCTTCTGTAATTCTATTGCTTATCAAAATATGAGCTTACATTTCTTGTATAATGTATTATTTGAAAATTTAAAACACCAACACCTTGAATATGTATGCATGGATAGTGGCATAGACCTTCAAATGGTCATATTATGAACAGTGGAAATTTATTTAATATTACTGATATTATTTATTCCTAATCTTATTTGTATAAACTGACTTGAAATAATAAACTTGTTGGAGTCTGAAAAATGGTTAAAACTATTTTGAAAATGCTAGGTTGCAAGATAAATATCAGGACTGGCAATAATAATAAATAATTCATTGTATAAGAAACTTGATGCATGACTTTTCTTAATGTTTAAGTTTTAAATTCTAAGCAAACAAAGTTTTTGTAGTTTTGATATAGAGACAATTGAAGAAATGTGTGGACGAAAGCCAATTTAAGCTTTAGTGACAAATTATTGTTTTTACAGCAGCAATCAAAGCTATTTAAGCAAAATTTCTATATTTATGAGATATTCTCTCATGAAACAACACATCTTGTCTTATCTTGCCTGACCCAAAATTCATAATTTGTATGTTTATTAACTTTTAAAAAAATTATCTCCTCTAAAACTACTTGGCATGAATTTAAGATGTGAATGTTCCACTCTTGATACTTACTACAGGTTTTATATGGTCCAAGACGAACAAGCGGCATAGGACTCACTGATGGTGAGAGTTTGGAGAGACTATGGTCCTACCTGGGGAAATTCTCGAGAATAACAAAAGAAATGACACCGGAAAATAGAATTGATCTCTTGACTGATGCTTTACTACATTATGGTAGTAGAATAAGGAACAAGCTCAGTAAGATATTTTTGTTTAAATATGATTAAAATGAGTTATTATTATGATGTATGAATAGATATTTGTATTGCAATTATGTGAAACAGTTAAAATTTTAACTTTAAAAAAATATATGTGTTGTTAAAAAATGTGATGGGTGTACCTTGTTTAGGGAAGGTTTCAAGTTAGTTAATCAATATAAGTTGCTTTTTGTTGGTAATTTTTTTGTTCATTATTGCAATTGATGAGAAGTGGATAAAGGTACAAGAATAGTTATTTCAATTTCAATTTCATAAAATGTTGTTTACGAATATTGCTGTTAAATTTATAATATTTTTTTCTAAACTTATCCCATAAAAGGGCCAGTTAATTTCCGATTATTAACCACTTCTGAAAGGTATTTCAAGTCAAAGAAAGAAAATCATTCCTATTAAGTCATGGAAAAAAAACTTAGCTTTCCTTCTTTATATGTACACAATCATTGAAATCTCTAACTTTAAACTCTTCTGTTTATTTAATTCAGAAAGTACTATCATTTTAGAAAAATTATGTAAATTTATAAAAATAATACAGGTAAAAGTCAGTCCTCCAAGTTAAGTTACGTTTTGTTCACACATGTCCATGCTTATATATACATATATGTAATTGTAAATATATATTTTCTCTGTAACTATGACATGTAGTTTTGTGAGAATAAAGTTCATTCATTCATTCTGAATTTGATGACGAGTTTAATAGTATAGCACCAAAGCTATGTTTAGGGTAAATAAAACTGATTACTTCCTAGAATTGTTATGTGTGAATATATTACAATTTCATTTGGTAATTTGAACAGTGACCCATTGTATTATTTCTTCTATTGGCCTGATAACTGTTTAAATTCACTTTTATCAGAAAGTATATTTAAGGGAATTTCTAAGGGAAACATCTTTCACTTTAAAATGTATATATTTCAGGTCAAAGTCTACCTGGGAGAATGAAAAAGGCCATCTTTCTTGAAAACACCAGCAGTACAACCTTGCAGGAACTTTTAAAACCATTGTCAGGTATTTTTCATCTTATTAACTACCTTAAATTGTAGGTTTTTTTCATACTTTTTCAGTATGTTTCATAAATATCTTCTTAAAGTTAACATTGATGAATATTTTTTTAAATCCATGTCAGCACTTATCTATTGATTTAAAGTATCATTGATTATTTGTTTGTATTATTTTTCTTTTCTTTTTTTAACTTGAATAAAATTAATCAATGATTTATATAACTTTTTTCAAATGTTTAATATCTAATTTATAGTAATGTTTAACAGAACAAAACCTTTTAATACAATCAATTATGCATTACTTTACAAGAAAGTACTGTAAATTCAGAAATTATTGCGAGGTTTTTATTAATGCGAATAATGCGACTGTTTGAGTATCGCAATAATAAGAACTCGCATTTTGATTTTTGATACATATATCTGTATGCAAATTTTCCTGAAATCGCAATAATTAATCTCGCATTTTTGTCCATTCTCCAAAAATCGCAATAATAAATGCACGCAATAATTTCTGAATTTACAGTAACTATCTTTAAAACTTTATTTCAAAGTTCTCAAATATTGAATTATTTTTGTATACAGACTCATTATTAATTTAATTAAACAGGTGTATCTGATGAAATGGTGAATAAATGGATTGAAGATGAAAAACTGATGTTTAGCTCTACTACCAATAATCAGAAATGTATGTTCTAAAACTAAGCCTCAAAACACCATTATTTTAAAACTTAAGCTTTATTTAAGATTACTCTGTCACATTTACTCGTGGAACAAGGGGTAATTATATACAAAATACAATTGCATACGATCATAGAAGGAAATAAAACAACTCTAAAATGTAATATACTAGTTGTTACTATACTTTATAATACTTTCATTTACTTTGAAATGAATAAAAATAAATTTTTTTAGTACCCTTATATTACTCGGTGATAGTAATCCTTTCATATTTGCTGCACTGGGTATTTAACATAGTATTCTATTGATTCATATTTCAAATGAAGCATCCACACTAAGAGAATAGACAGTGTAATATTTCAGATCACACGTAACAAGTTTGTTATTTCAGATCACACATAACAAATTTGATATTTTCAGATCACACAATAAGTTTGTCATTTCAGATCACACATAACAAGTTTGATATTTCAGATCACACAAAACAAAAAAGATATCTTACTCCAGATAATCATAATCTATTAGAGCAGTCTTATATAATTTTGTATTAGATCCATTTCAAATATTTTTCAGGTACAAATTTGAAAAAAGTTAAAACATGGGAAATAACTCCAATATTATTCCATTGAAAACAATCACTCTTAAAGGGACTGTTAATCAGGAAATCAGGAAAGTCATGTTTATATTCTTTTTTCCAAAAGCTTATGATTAATTGAAAAAATTTTGTGTAATTAAAACGATCTCATTGAAGATATAAACAGAGGCTTAATTTAATATTTTGTTTGTAGTGGAATTGACACCAAAAGAAGATTACTGTCTGAAGTTGGAAGATCTATATAAGATGAGGTAACTGGCAATATTTTTGTTCTTGTAAATAGCAAAAAAAATATTATTTTACCTGTTTTATTAGACAAAACATAAATTGAATCTAATAATATATCAGGCATCAGCTATTGGTTTCATTTTATCAGTTATATTTCAAGATTATGAAATCTGGCAATTGAGAGGATTTTTATTGTTTGTTAGTGTTAAGTGCCTCTTATAGTACTCTTGGAAACATGTGTCATTTTCAACTTGAAATTGCATCAATAGAATACCAATTTGCCAATAAAGATCAACAATTGTGTTATTTTCAGGCATCCAGGAAAAAAAAAAGAAGTTTTGAAATGTTTTTCAAACACCTAATTTGTGACGGATTCTCTCTCATTGGAAAATGTTGTTTATAAGAAATGAAAGGTTTAAAAGTTTTACAAAGAATTCTATTTAAATATTTTTATATTCTGGTTATCATGGTTATATGATATATTTTTTTTTATTTCAGAGAGACACTGCCTCCTGGACAGCTTCAAGAAGATATAACATACAAAAGGCAAATTTTATATAGCATGCTTGTTAATTAATTTCATCAATGGGAAATTAGATCAGGAATTAGAGAGCATTACTATGAACTGTAACCAATTTTTTTTGTATAAAGTAGGGTCGCGGGAACATAATTTCAGCAAAAATTTAAACATTTTTTTTTTCATTACACATTTTATTTATTACACTATTAATTGTTACTTTATGATATGGTACAGAAATCATAGAAAAATATCAATTCGTTTTGGCCCCAGATGACTTTTCAAATGTTTATATCATTAAAAAAAGCTCAAATTATCTACCTTTGGTGCAAAAATGTTTATGGCATTATAATTTGAATATCTTTTTTAACTCATTTGTGACCTGTATTATTTATTATTATTTTCAAATAAGCTGTACGTAAACTAAACCATTGTAAATTTAAGCGATATCTGTAATTTAGTTCTTTTTTTATTTCTATATTATCTCTATTTATCCTATTAGTTCAACCGAAAAAAAAAGTACCTTAACAAAAATGCATGCTTCTTTCGAAGGCAAATGGTGAGCTTAAATGAACGGTGACCCCATTTTTTTATTTTATTTTTCTATTAATAATATGAAAAAGTTCATTTTTTTTTTATAGAAAAAAATAGGAAAATCCTACAATTAAAAAAAAATTGGATTTATACCCTCAAGCCCCCTTAACACTTATTTTTACCCCTTTATAGCTTGCTGATAGCATACTACATCTTCTTATATAAATTGACAATATGGAGCAATGTTAAAGACATGATTAAAAGCATATTAATCAGACTTCTTTGTAAAAAATAATGAACTCACTTGTTATCAAAATAGTTTCTTACTTGAAATAAAGGTTTATAAATTGAACACTTTTCTGAGAATGTGGAAGCACTTTCATCTCATTGGCAATCACACACCATATTTTATTTTGATCCCAGCTAATGATAGTAGACAGCATTTTGTTTTTTCCATCTGTGAATTCGTTCTCTACATATTCTAGCATTTTTTTTTATCCTTTTGACATAGACTTTTAAAAACTCAAGAGGATGTGGAGGGTATCATAAAATATGACCTTGACTTAGACATTCAAGGTTAAATAATTATTTGTTATTAGTTTTAGTTCACTACTAAAACAGTCATACAGTAAGTCATTACAGTAATGAAAACTTATGGGTATTATTTATTGGTAACAGATTATTTTATTGCTCATTCTTTTTATATTTCAGATTGAATAAGACCATTGAAAGAATTGAAAGCAGACTGAAAGTTAAATATACAAAGACCGACATATTGTTCACAAGTCATCTGTCAAGCGCAAAAGAAAAAAACAGACTTTTTATACTAACAAAACTGCAGAGGTCTACCAGTGAGAGGCACTTCCTGTTAGATCTGATAAAGAAATATGCCAGTATGTAAAGACATTTATTTTTATTTTGTAAGGCAGATATGTTTGAAAGTTGATTCAAGTTTTACCTAATTTTTGCAATTTTTCAACAAAATCATTGGGAGTTTCTAAAGCAAATGTGCAGCCATAGCAAACTTACAGTGTACAAGGGATGACAAGGTTGCTTTGATTTGATAAGCATTGAATATAGGAAAGTTGAGACTTATTTGAAAGTGTTTAAGTCATATAGCAGCATTCCATTCCCTCTTCAGTTTTTTTTATGATTATAAATATATTTTATCCATGTTCTTAGGACTAAAAGAAGCAGGATTTCAATCAACCATTAATTTTCAGAAATTGCTCTGAAATTTTTTTATGTAATTGCATTTTTTCATTCAATTACATTTAATAGTTGACTTATTTTATGTAAATGACAAATACATTTGTGTAGAAAAAATGAATAAGGAATCAAATGGTATATGATTTATATACTTTGAAAAATTGAAATGAATCTATACTGATTTCTAGATATTAGTGTGTAGCCTCCAGTCTTGGTTGGCATTTTGATAGTTGTCTCATTGAGAATCAGACATACCACATCTTTTTTATGCCCCACCTACCATAGTAGAGGGGCATTATGTTTTCTGGTCTGTGCGTCCGTCCGTTCGTTCTTTCGTTTGTCCTTCCGTTCGTCCGTCCGTCCGTCTGTCCCGCTTCAGGTTAAACTTTTAGGTCAAGGTAGTTTTTGATGAAGTTGAAGTCCAATCAACTTGAAACTTAGTACACATGTTCCTCATGATATGATCTTTCTAATTTTAATGCCAAATTATAGTTTCGACCCCAATTTCACGGTCAACTGAACATAGAAAATGATAGTGCAAAGTTCAGGTTAAGTTTTTTGATCAAGGTAGTTTTTGATGAAGTTGAAGTCCAATCAACTTGAAACTTAGTACACATGTTCCCTATGATATGATCTTTCTAATTTAAAGGCCTTATTAAAGTTTTGACCCCAATTTCATGGTCCACTGAACATGAAAAATGATAGTGCGATTGGGGCATCCGTGTACTGTGGACACATTCTTGTTTTAGATGCAATATAAAAAATCATTTTCTCTTTCCAGGAGGACAAGCTATTGCAATTCGCTTGTCAAAGCAAGTACAGAAGGTAGTGGCCAAGATCAAGCAGGCCTTGGCAGAGTACAATTTGGTTGGAGAGCCATCCACTTCTTTTCCACTTAAATTAAATTTTGATGATATTAAAAACCAGGATAATGAAATTTGGCAGAAACTTGAAGTGACAGACCGAGCTGATAGTTTATCAGCTGTGAAAAGACAGGCTATTCAGCTGAAGTCCATGATTGATAGAGCCAAGGAGGAGCAGTGTCTTGTAAAACAAGAAATGGTATCTACAATAAAATGGTACAAACATCAACATTCACTGCTAATTGCTTCAATGAATAATGCTACAAAAGGAAGAAAAGCGTGCCTAGTGAAGGAAGGATTATTCATTGAAGCAAAATTGTTGGAATTTATCAAATCGTTTGATGAACATATTGTAGAGGAAAGTGTGCAAACAATATTCTTTTCTATTGTTGGATTAGATAAAGATGTGGTTGAGGGAAACGATTTTGATTTACCTGACTTTGATGAAAATGTTCTTATAAATGTAGATTTTGTTGATGATGATGATGATGATGATGATGAAGATGATATAAATGTTTTATACTTCAATGAAGAGAATTTAAATTATGAAGATTTTGAAGATGACAATGATGAAGATTTACATGATATTTAGACTATCAATTTTTATTCATTTAATTGATGAATTTCAGACAATAACAATAACAGTTGTAAGAAATTTCAAATTGTTGATTTACATGCAATACTGTTCAAGTGAATTATTTATTTTTTTTAATTCTGTGAAAAATTAAATTAAAAACATTTCAAGCCTATACTTTTATTGTATGACAAAAATAGAAATTGTAGCACATATGGCGAAATGTAAGGTAATTTTTTAATAGAATTTTTATTACTTGACGTAAAGGATGTATTCTTTTGAGGTTTCTGTCTCGTTGAAATCTCGTTCTGGAATTATTTCAAAAACATGTGATACAAGTGGAAAATAGCAATGAATTTAATAAATATCTAATCAAACTTAACTCTGTGAAAAAATTGTGTATCTACAATTAGTAGTTTTTGAGTATTATACATTTTTCAAATTCTATTACCTATCAAATCAGTCTTTTTAGCCAAAATTTTGAGAAAATGGATGAGGAGTACAAGAAATGATTTAACCAGAAACATGTACATCCCATATCACTTTTTTCTTTTCAAATTTCTTTGATATGTATTTTTTAATCATTTATAACAAAGAAGTTGAAATAATATGCATAATTGTGGAACTGTGATTTTGTTCACGATAATAGCCCCAAAATGGGACAAAATTGAAGAAAAATTGGAAAATCATCAAAATTGGGTACTTTCAAATAGCCGTAGCAAAAAAAGAAGTGCACTACCATATGATATTTTGTTCCCCAATTTTTTTTTTATAGTCATATAAACCCAAAAATCAGGTTTAGAAAAAAAGTTTAATTCTAGAAATTTTTGGCTCCTCAGAGGTGTACATCCTTAAGTCTTTTTTCTCTTACAAATTGTTTCAGCAAATAAGTATCATTTTTCATATGTCTGTTTTCAGAGAAAATGGAAAATTTAGCAAAGAACTCATAATTTGCCTAATGAACCACATTTTTGGGGGATAATTGCCCTTGAACAGATGTGTGTTATTTTTTTCTTGATTATGCACAGTGGCATACTATATTCTCAACAATGATTTTCTTATTTTTTTTGAAAATAGAAAACTTATGTATTTTGATTAAAATGATGAATGATAAACAAAAATTTGCATTCATGTATGTATGCCAGGGTTTTTGATATCACAAATAGTAAAAGCATTCACTACATTTTATCATCAGTATAAGGACATCATTGGTAAATATAAATCAACATGCAGACATCTTATAGGTTCAGGTATTTCACATCCAATCTTTTATGGTAATATTCTTTACAAAGCACAAAAATGTGGACATTTACCTCAAAAGCTAACCAAACCTTATTTAGAAGGGATATAGTTACGATTCTGTTGTCAGGTCATTAAAGATGGCATATATAGGTATAAATATTGATTCATTTATAGGGTCCTAGCATAAAAAATAAACACATTTATTATAAAACCAGTTGTTGGCATGACACGGTTTATGTTCTTCTCATTTATTTTATGATGGTATAATACTAAACCCCTAACGGGAGGGATTGTGCTTGATTTCAGATGATGAAGACATAATTTTTCAATCAGTTAAATTGAGGTCTGGAACTGGCATGTCAGTAACTGCTAGTAGTTTTTAGTTAATTTATGTATCATTGTCATTTTGTTGAGTTACTTTTGTTATCTATTCTGACATCAAACTCAGACTTTTTTAAGTTTTACTTTTTGTCGAGCCTGCAACTTTTGTCGCAGAAAGCTCGACATAGGGATAGTGATCAGGCGGCGGCGGCAGTAGCTTACTTCTTAAAAGCTTTATATTTTAGAAGCTAGAAGACCTGGATGCTTCATACTTTGTATATATATGCCTTATGTTACAAAGTTTCCGTCTGTCATATGTTCATTGTCCTTGACCTCATTTTCATGGTTCAGTGACTACTTGAAAAAAAGTCAACATTTTTTGTAATGTTAATTTCTTTCTTATTATGAGTAATAGGATAACTATATTTAGTATGTGCGTACCTTGCAAGGTCAAAGTCAGACAATTTTCATTTGACCTCCACCTCATTTCATGGATCAGTAAACAATTTTCGCATTTTTGCGCCTGTCCCAAGTCAGGAGCCTCTGGCCTTTGTTAGTCTTGTATCATTTTTAATTTTAGTTTCCTGTGTATAATTTGGAGTTTAGTATGACGTCCATTATCACTGAACTAGTATACCTATTTGTTTAGGGGCCAGCTGAAGGACACCTCTGGGTGCGGGAGTTTCTTGCTGCATTGAAGACCCATTGGTGGCCTTCAGCTGTTGTCTGCTCTATGGTTGGGTTGTTGTCTCTTTGACACATTCCCCATTTCCATTCTCAATTTTAAGGTTAAGTTTTCATGGTAAAGTCCATATATCAGATACTATAAGCAGTAGGTCTACTATATTTGGTATATGGAATGATTGTAAGCAGGGCTTCCAAAATTATTTTTAGCCAGCCGGACATTTTATATATAATCCCGATTTTAATCCCTTAAGACTAAATAAACAAAAGACAATTATGGTATTCAGTTGCTGAGTTGGCCATCCCAATGATTGACATTAAAAAAAAACGATATTAAAGTTTCTTTTAAATTTGTAAGGTGTACATGTCCAACTGGTAGGTGTCATCTGACATTGACCTCATTTTCATGGTTCAGTGGTCAAAGTTAAGTTTTTGAGTTTTGGTCTTTTTTTCTAATACTATATGCAATAGGTCAACTATATTTGGTGTATGTAAATATTTTATGATGTACATGTCAGTCTCACAGGTTTTATTTGACCTTGACCTCATTTTCACGGTTCATTTCTCAGTGTTAAGTTTTTGTATATTGGTCTGTTTTTCTTCAATTATAAGCAATAGATCAACTATATTTGTTGTATGGAAGGATTGTAAGGTGTATAAATCTGTCTGGCAGGAATCATCTGACCTTGACCTCATTTTCATGGTTCATTGGTCAATGTTAAGTTTTCTTGGTTAAGACTATTTCTTAGAAACTATAAGCAATAGGTCAACTTTGTTTGTTTTATTGAATGATTGTAAGGTGTACATGTATTTCTCGTTTGGTTTAACTGACCTTGACCTCATTTTCTTGGATCATGTTAAGATTATGTGTTACTTGTAGTAAAGCTTTATATTTAGGACTATCAACATAAAATCAATGGTTAGTAAAGAAGGCGAGACATTTCAGCGTGTGCACTCTTGTTGTATTGCTGTGTGTTTGTTCAATCTACATTGGCTAGAGGTATAGGGGGAGGGTTGAGATCTCATGAAACATGTTTAACCAGCAACATTTTTCCGTATGTTCCAAGTCAGGAGCCTCTGATTTGAAGACCCATTGGTGGCCTTCAGCTGTTTTTTTTTACTCTTTGGTGTCAGGTAGTTGTCTCTTTGACACATTCCCCATTTTCAGTCTCAATTTTATGTACATATTATTTAACATTGTAACATTGTTAATAATGTATTTTTTTTTTACTGTTCTTTGCTTGGATTGAAGCATAAAGTAATGCAGACAAGATAATTGTTAATGCTTTTATAAAATAATTCACATTTTCTAAATGTGAAAATTTAAAAACAAGTATGGTAAAAATTCAGATTTATTAAACACTTGTTATGTTGACAAATTTTGCAAATTAAAGATTTATTCATAGTGTCATATTTCTGGGGGTACAAAGAAACATTTGTTAAAAAAATCACAAATAGATTTGGAGACATCTATACAGTGATGAAAACAAGATGATTTTTTATGTTACAATAAATTTATTTGCATTGTCTAGAATTAATGTTTGTAATAATCTGGAAAAATCATGACAGAAACTTAGATTCATTAAACTATAGTTATCTGCATATTATGCTAAAAAAATATTTCTAGTGTCATATTACAGGGAAAAAACTTTCATTTTGTTCAAATCACAAATTATATTTGGTAAGAATGACATGAAAACCTAAAAGACAATTTTAGAATGAAATATCTATTAGTGCTTGTATTAAATAAAAGGATAAATGTGTGATATGCTATTCCAAATTGAGTTCTTGGTTCTTTTGTATGATTTTTTTTTTTTTTTTTTTGAAAATAAAAGAAAATTGAGAATCATCTTTTAGTGCTATTATAATAAACATTTATATCCAGGTACATGTTGTATTTTTATAATCCACAATGGATTCTTTTTTATCCATACCAGTCAATAGACTGCTGTTTGGCGCCTTATCCAACAATATATTTATTTGTTTAACATGTTTTATCAGTATATATATTATGACAAAAAGTAAAAAATCTATATGCCACCATGACTTTTCTTCTTATATGCCTTTGCCAAGGAAGCATCTATCTAGGATTTGAAAATCTGAATTAAACCTAGATACATTACTTGAGAGAAAATTCTGATAACAAAATTGAAATATGCATGGATAGCAAAACCAAGATACCAGTGAAACAAAGCCGATGCAGAAGTATAAACTTATCACAAGCTGCTACACACATTCCGGTACTACGATTGCAAAAAAAGACGATTTAGTCTGACGTCCATTATCACTGAACTAGTATACATTTTTGTTCAGGGCCCAGCTGAAGCACGCCTCCGGGTGCGGGATTTTCTCGCTGCATTGAAGACCCATTGGTGGCTCTTTGGTCGGGTTGTTGTCTCTTTGACACATTCCCCATTTCCATTCTCAATTTTAATTCTCCACCATTGACCAATTGGCATAGGTGCCAGCAAATAAAGATCAACATATGGATTTCAAGATGATCAAAACCCAAATATAGCAAGTTTTAACACCTCAACATTACATGTGAAATGATTTAAATAAAAAAACAAACATGACCTGTGTACAAACCTAATTACACATTATAAACAGCAACAAACGAAAACTACCTAATCACATACTCCTGAGTGGAACAGCACTACCAGAATGTTGCTTGCTCAGGCATGATTGAAGACACTCCATCCTCACACGAACAAGAACAAGCGTTAGAATTCAACTTTGAAATGGTTGACTCATAAGATAGTGCACAAAAAACTAAAGACTGACACACGAATCTAGCAACGATAGCATTTGTATGTTAAGTAAAGAAGAGTAGTGTAACTTGTACAGTTGAAACAATGAACGAAACATAGCATAAGCTACTATACACTATACATATTAACAACCAACAAAAAGCATACATGCAGTTGTTGTGTTTTGTATACATCACAAAGGTTAATGAGACTACCTCACAGAAATTTTTTAAAGCTTATAGGACTGATTCCCATACAATAAACAGTCTTAAAACAAAGGTTTAATAATCAAAAACAGCAGGACAAATAGCCCTTGTTACCGTTGCTATCTTTTTACTAGCTGCTAATCAAAAACTGGCAAGTATTATGAGTCATGGTTATGGCAAACAGTATTTTTTTTTATAACTTCTAGATATCTCCTATAATATATAACGTATCTCATATAACACAAGATTTCTCAAAAATATATCAGATATCTCATATCTCATATCACATGAAATATAGTAAAATGATACATAAGAGATCTTATATACTATTTAGAGTTAGAATAAAACGTAAAACAGTTTGCCCTACATCATGGTTATGAAGTGTTATACAAGATAAGAATATTAATCACAACTTGACACGGGCATAAAAACTAATCATTACCAATTTCTTGGTAGACACCGTAAAACAAAAGGAACACTAATTTACATTGCTGTTATTAAACAAATATATTTGACAATATGACATATTAAAAACAAAATTGATACACACAGTGACCAGCAATGTAGTTTACGCAAACACAATTTTTACATTAAAATAAAAACTCAACACCTAAAATAAGCACAAGAACTCAAAAGCAGAATACACTTACAGGAAGCTTGAGATTAAAAAAAAAACAGAATAAACTAAAAATATTGCTTCTATAGAGCTCGAATGTTCACGAAGGTGTGCAGAATATATAAGTACCACTGTTACTTTTACCAGAGACATATAATACAATGTAAAAAATGTAGGGCTTGTGATAATGATGAAATCTATTATCATGCCTTTATTATGTATGTGCCTTTCCCAAGTTAGGAGCCCGTAATTCACTTGTCGTTTGTTGCTGTATATCATATTTGGTTTTTTTGTTATTATTTTGTACATCAATCAGGCCGTTAGTTTTCTTGTTTGAATTGTTAAACCTTTTTCATAAATGGACCTTGTATAGTTGACATTGCAGTATGGATTTTACTCATTGTTGAAAGCCTTATGGTTACCTATAGTTGTTAATTTCTGTGTCATTTGGTTTCTTGTGGAGAGTTAAATATTATATTGCATATACTGTACAGAAAAAAAAAATGTCATACACTCGCACATCAATATTAAAAATTATGAAATATTTGCCACTGGACGTTAGGCAACCATCAATTAAATCAGCCTGATCAACAACAAAGGTAGATACACCTTTTCGTGCAGTTTGTACAAAGTAAAAGAAAAAAGAAAAAAGGTTTTAACTCACAAATCAAGTCAAATGATTGTAAAAGTATATATACATGTGTATGTCTGTTTCAAAATTATAAGGTGATTTTAACTAGCCCAAAAGGAAAAAAAAAAAAGAAACGTGTAGGGTACATTTCGAAACATTTTAAGATCAAAATGACATTTAAACTGATGTATGCTTTGAAGTCAACTTGCCAAGTTAACAGTATTTTAACATAATAAAATTTTTTTTCTCATACAAAAATGTTACATGAAAAGGTGGCAATACCTGCTACTGTGGGTTTTTATCGTATATTTAGCAGTATCTACAATTAAAATATGGTTTAATATCTTTATCTTTGAGGTCAAAAGTCTTCAACTGTCATAAAGTGTGATTGTTGGTTAATTGACGTCCAGTGGCAGATTTTACACGCATGGTCATGACGGGTTAATGGACAGAAAGTCACAGGACATAAAGTCACAAATTTGATAGGACAAAAAGTCACAAATAGTTTGTTGACAATTGTTCGAATATATAAGAGAAAGATCTTGAAATATTTTCTTTTTATAACATATATTCATGTTTAAGTTTAGAAAATTGTTCATAAGCCTTCATAAATGCAAATTCATTAAATTTTAATCGTGCAATGGATATGTTGCTTGACACCATGAAGCCATTTAAGGTTTAAGCCTCTTTGACATTTTGTTTTCACAACTATGATTTGATCATTATTGATATTTATTGAATATATATTAATTCCAAAATTGCTTTATATTTTAAATAAATAGTTTAAGAAAAAAACCTAAAATATTTTTTTTTTAATGAGTGTTTTTGTAACAGCCACTATGTTCCGTCAGTTACTTTGTTCCGGCGGAACTTTTCAACTAGTTATTTCGTTCCGATGGAACTTTTCAACTAGTTGTTTTATTCCGAGTGCAGTCGAAAAGTTCTGGAAAAAAGTAGCTAGTTGAAAAGTCCCAGAACAATGTAGCTAGTTGAATAGTTAACCGTAACCCTAACCCTAACACTAACCCTAACCCTAACCCTAACCCTAACCCTAACCCTAACCCTAACCCTAACCCTAATTAGGTTCCCGAATATGGTTTGGGGTTAGCGCGGTATATTTTGTCGCCAAGCGATTAGGTGCCTTAACATCAAAGGGTTAGAAGGGGGTTTGGGGGATATATTCAATCCCTAATAAGACCTTCCCATAAAAAAAAAGGGGGTCAAATTTTTTTTAGGGGGGACAAAGATAATGGCTACTAAAAACTACCGCTAACCATATTGGCCGCCGTCCATGGTTAGAAAAAAACTTTGGGTGGTCTGAGGGGGTCGGGACATGACGCAACTTTTGACCCCAAACCGCGCCTAACCCCCTGCAAAATATAGGAATCCCCCCTTTTATTTTAGGCTATTGACAATAAGGGGCCCAGGTTGAGTATACTAGGATGAGCTTCTAAAATTTTTATGTATTTTATTTTCTTGTCAAGTCAACAATTTTTTTATCCTTTAAGTTTCGACAAAGATTTTTATAGGGCAAGTAGACCTCATAGGGACCTCCCTTTGGGCAAAACTTGCAGGGATTCTATCGGACGGAATTTTTTTTTTGCCACTTTGAAAATTTCGTCAAGTAGCCATTTCCCGCTTGTGGTTAATTTTCGGTAGCCATTACCTTAACAGCTGAAACTTTTTTATTATAAGAGGTGTAATTATCACTGATAGCTCAAAATGAAGGTAATAAAATTCGGTATAATAGGGTATTAACATAATAATCATTATCGTGGTCTGTCGTGGTATGGTTAAGCACTGAATTCGGTAGCCATTTACCGCACAGTTTTAGAAATCAAAGTTTTGGATGAACTTATTTTTTTCTTGACAAATCTTCCTGTTACGTATAATTTTAGACTACATCACTAAAATGCCACTTTTTTTTCCCCAAAACTAATGCATTTTGCATCATTTTATACCATTTTGGCCTCAAAGTTAAAGACCTCCATATTTTCTATGAAAGCCAATACAAAGGAAAAAAAAAATAGGCGTTAACTAGACAACAGTGCAAACCAATCTACATATATTTTATTTAAAAACCAGTAATATTATGAGAATTCAGACCAACCCTAATTTTTGCACCAGTTGTCAATTACCGCGAATATGATTGCTGCAGACCAATATCCTTTGGCCGAAAATATGTTCGTATTATATTAATCAAATCCACAAACTTTCGCTTGATTCTCTTTGCATTTACAAAAAATAGCAATCTCGGATTTGATTTTGGTTACTCTGTTTTGTGGTCTGAACCTCTTTTGTTTAGGGACAATAATAAAAAAGTAAGGACTTAAAATAAAGATAAAGGACTAAATTCTTCAAATATAAGACTAAACAGACCATCACAAGAGGATTTCATCATTTTCAGACAATTTCAAAAAAGGCATTTTTCGAGATAATTATTTTCAAATTGTTTTTTTTATCATTATCTTTTCCTTTAAGTCTCGAAAACTGCGATCCCTATGCTTCACATAACATAAATCCTTTTTCTGATATTTCTAACCCAAAAAAAATAAATATCACCCCTAACCATGCCTATGGATTCAAAAAATGGCATTTTCATATATTTTTCAACAAAACCTTACCCAACTGTTCCATTTTCATCATACCGTTCCGTGTATCGTTCTGTTCCGTATCGTTCCCTATCATACTGAACCGTTCCATGATACTGTACCGTACCACGATACTGTACTGTACCACGATACTGTACTGTACCACGATACCGTACCGTACCACGATACCGTATCGTTCCATACCAAAAACCAATACCGTTCTACAATACTGTTCCAAACTCATAT